GTACAGGGTATCGGAAGTGATTGAATCAATGGCGCACTCGAGCACCGAGAATGAGACTGGCGGTGAGGATATGTACGGTACTCAGATCAGCATTGATTAGTTGTCCGGGAACATGGGCTTTTCATTATTAGCAAGATGGGGGGAGATGCAGTTATGAATTGTTGCGCGCCGAGAAACAGTATTAATTATCATATTTAGCCTATCAAAATATCACCTTTACTGCACGTTGACTGACTTTCAAGATATTTAGAAAGACGCATTCTAATGGCAACGAAGAATTGGAGAATATGCCAATGGAGAGGAGATGATCAAGTCTGCAATTACCGACTACCCACCCCAGCATAACCACTGGGAGAAGGCAAGTCGCAGTTTAATTTAAAAGTACAGTGGACAAAGACATGCAAGACCCAAGGCCAATCCAGCGCTTCAAAAACTCATGCAGCAAAATAGAAAGACAGGCCAAAATAGGAGCCAACAACGGACATGATACCTAAACAACCGAATGTCAAATATCAGCCAATGAGAGCATCCCTATTCGCTATTATTTTTTGTTTTTTTTCCTTGGTCGGTGTTCTTGAGATCGTTGAGAGAGGTCGAGCTCGTGACGTCGCGTCAGTATGATACACGTCAGGGGTCTTCCAATATCCCCGTCGCGATTTTACAGCGAAACGGGGATTGGTGTCGACATGACAGAAAGGGGATGAATGGCGGCGAAACAAAATATCGTATAAAAATATCGTCTTGGAGACTAATTTACTCCTTGATCTTGGCCAGGATACTAGATGAGGTTGTCAGTTGTTGTTCTCAGCGAAAAAAGGGAGGGAGAGGGAGAGAGAGGAAACATACTCGTGATCCCGGAAGAGGGTGTACTCCTCCTCGCCAACCTTGATGGCGTTACCACCAAACTGAGCACAGACACGTTAGTATATAATGTTCCATGTATTTCGAGGGAATTGTTGCACCACATACCTGGGGAATGAGGACCTTGTCACCGGCGCTGACACCCATGGGGAGACGCTTGCCGTCACGGTCGAGGAGACCGGGGCCAACAGCGAGGACCTGAGCCTCGTTCTGCTCCTTCACGGCAGCCTCGGGGAGGAAGATACCGGAGGCAGTCTTGGCCTCGGGCTTGATGCGCTGGACCAGGACGCGGTCCAGGAGGGGAGCGAGGGACTTGATGTTGCGGAGGACAGACTGTGAAGGGAACGGGGTTAGTGAATATGTTTCTCAATGAGACATCCGAACTGAATTGGGGATCGCGCGCGGGTTTTCGGGTAGCCGGACTCGGCCTGGAGGAAGGAAAAGTTGGGTGTTGAGGTGCTAGCACGCTCCGGGAGTTGAGGAAATAGGTAATTTTGGGGTCTGGTATCAATTGGGATATTCAACGTACCATTGTGAAAGTGAAGGAGATTCGTGAGAGGATGGGTTGAGGATGAGGATGGAGAAGGGAAGAAGATGGAATTGGTCCGGGGGAAGAAGATCTGGACTGGAGAAATTTCCAGAATGCCAAGACTTAACCATGAGCTTCTTTCCGAACAGCCCTGTTTTCCCTTGACCTCTTTGGTTGTCTCTGGATATAATCACTTGTGTTTTCTTACGATATTTTATCTCTTAATGTTTAGGTGTTATTGGTTCTTTTATTGACATGCCTAAACCACCCCTCAGCTACATTGTATGTTGTACATCCCTGCCCAACCTACACCTCTACTTCTGAAGAAGCTCGAATTCGTAAATTGTCCAATGCCATTGCTATTCCCTTTGTATGCATGAAACGCCGTGTGATCCCATTATTCCGAGGGTGAACAGTAATACGAATTCAATATCAAACTACCATCTTCGGCCACGTCCTCGGCCCCCGTAACCTCCACGTTGGTCGTATCCGCCATAGCCCATTTGACCCTGAGCCCCTTGGTTAAACCCTTGACCCTGGGGCTGGCCCCCAAAGCCAGGTTGACTCTGCTGACCCCCACCGGGCATCATCGACTGAGCGTGCTGCATGAAAGCCATAGGATCCATATTGGACGGGTCCAAGCCCTGAGACATCATGCTGGCCAGCATACCCTGCATCATATCGGGGTTCATATCCGGAATACCGGGCATGCCAGCCATGGGCGGCGCAGCACTGACTGGAGCAGCGGGACCTGGCGCACTAGGCATCGGGGGCATTCCCATGCCCATGAAGGCCTGCATATCGTCCATCTGTCTCTTCTGGCTGCTGACTTCTTGTCTGACACCTTGTTGCTTCAGACAATATCCTGCCCATGTGAACTCATCGAATCCGTAGTTGAAGTAGTCAGAGAGATCTGAGCCGGGTCGGCGCCAGGGCTTGTCGTCGGATGGGAAGTCGGCATCCATGTCCGTGGACATGATAGGCTTCCCTGTCATAGGGTGGACGGGGTTCGCATTGACGTCGATGGTGGAACTGTGGATGGCTGGATAGGCGGAGCCTGGCTTTTCTGAGGAGGGTCTTGCGGCCCCGGCTGGGTGTCCGGGAATCGGAGTCGCTGTTTCGTATCGAGGAATCGCGGATGGCGTCGCAGACCTCGCTAACCCCGACGAGTCTGCGGAGGACGGCCGTTGTGGTTCTTGTCGTAAGCTTGCATGGCGCGGGTGAGAGCTAAAAAGATCAGCAAGAGTGAGTGCAAGGAGCGCGATCACAGCGAACTCACGCTTCGGGAGCTGGTGCGCCTTCGGGTGCTTCTGTGATAATATTAAAGTCATCCTGCAGATAGAATTAGCAAGGAAAAATTGCAGGTAGGTGTGAGCTAAGTGCGTACATCGTCATCTTCTTCTTCTACCTCATCGTCTTCTTCCATGTAATTGCTCTGCGGTTGGCCTGAAGCTGCATTTTGTGTATGGTTCAGCGATTGTGTTGTCGGCACCGCGTCGACCGGATCATAGAAGTCGTCTTCTTCTTCGTCCATAATTTCTGAATTTCAGTTCGACGGGTAAATGCTGCAGAAAGTTGTATCAAAGAGGATCGAGATCGAAGGTTGCGCGCATGGAACCGAGTTTGTCTTGTTTGCAGCGGTGTGAGAGGTGAGATATGCGAAAGGGAGTATATAGCGACCATGACACGCTTGAATGTTCTGGATTCTGAGGTTCAGTGAATGCAAAGTAGCTTACAGATGAAGTATTTAGTATTCTCCAAATTTGAAAGCGTGAATGCTTCTTATAATCTAGTGATTTTGTAGAATATACAGAAATTCAAGATCACGTGCCAGCACCAGACGTCACAAACCAGCTCATCTCAGTTGTCAAACCTGAGCTTGTTATCTTCGCAATTGAAAATGGCAGAAGAAGATGAGAGTAGCACATCCACTCCACGGTCCTTCGCGGGCCAAACCGTCTCGGCGGAGGAGATGCTCAAGGAACAAACCGTCGGTCTTGTTCATCTCTCCGAATTTCGCAAGCGGCGTGCGGATGTTCTAGAGGCGAAAGAGCGCGAGGCGCATGACAAGTCTTTGGGACTGCTGGCATCTGGTAATTCAAGAAGCGCAACTCCCTCTGCAGGCGATATAACTGACGGGTAAGCCAAGAGCATCGATTGTCATTCCCATTCATTTGAGCTGATCGCAGCGCAATAGGTCAACGCCTTCCCGCAGTGACGGTCCCCCGAAAAAGAAGAAAAAGAAGGCTTTCGCAAAAAGCAAACTATCATTCGGCGATGACCAGGATGAGACCGGGGAAGAATCCGCGACAACTCCACGCGACTCAAGCGTATCGCGGTCAGGTTCGAAAACACCCGCCGAGAACAGTACTCGACGCATGAAAGCAAACCCGAATGCACCCCCTCCACCTAAAGCTTTGACCAAGGCTGCCTTGGAAGCTGAAGCGCTGGCTCGCGACACTCTCCGCAAGGAGTTCTTGATCATGCAAGAGGCTGTCAAGAATACCGATATTCTTATTCCATTTGTCTTCTACGATGGAACGAGTATACCAGCTGGAGCTGTTAAAGTCAAGAAGGGTGACCATGTTTGGTTGTTCTTGGATCGGTGCCGGAAAGTCGGTGCTGAGATGGGCGTACGCGGTGCCAGCGGTGCATCTAAGGCGAAGAAAGACAATCGCCGAGAGTGGGCACGAGTCAGTGTCGACGACTTGATGCTTGTCAAGGGCGATATTATCGTTCCACACGTAAGTTCACCCGTCAGGATTCTACGTGGTTAAGTATCTAGTCTAATGTCCACACAGCATTACGAGTTTTACTACTTCATCGCCAATCGAGTGCCCAGTCTCTCTCGAGCTGGCGGTTTGCTGTTCGATTATTCCAACAAACCCCCCGTTACCGATTCCACCAATTCCACCGATGATCCGCTGTCTCGACCTAGTGACGATCAACTAGAGGGCGCAGACAAGGATTTCTCAGAAACCAAGGTCGTAGATCGACGGTGGTATGAGAAAAACAAGCATATCTACCCAGCTAGTCTGTGGCATGAGTATGAGCCCGGGAAAGAGTTTGAAGAGAAGATGACTTCAACACGGCGCGATGCTCAGGGAAATACATTCTTTTTCTAGCCCGCGGAAATTTATGAAAATACTCTTTTTAATAGACAAATACCAAATGTTCTCTGTCCAAGTTGTTGTTCCATCGCAGATTTATTTTGGGGTTGACTAAACTACCCAATGCTAACTCGTGACCTTCACTTCTTCCAGGGTTATTCTCTCCAACCGCATCCCATCTCCAACGATACCATGGACTTTTCTTTAAGATGCAATTCCCTCAAATGCCGGGCAGAATTGAAAGAGAAAGCAGTGGTGACAACCTGCTCGTAAGTATCTCCCTCGGGGATCAGCTTAGGCGGAACACTCATGATTTCAGACACATATTCTGCCATGGGTGCGCAGAGAGCCTCGGGCTCTCTCGTCCAACTACCAGCAATCGGCTCTGTCCTGCGTGTCAAACGGCACTTCTCAATCCGGATGACGCTGTTTCGACAATCTTGAATCCGACGGAAGACTACAAAACAAGCGTGTTGAGTGGGTTAGATCCGAACACAATCATGGAGTGTGCTGGTCGCGCACTTGCGTTTTGGGCATACCAAAGCACACAGGAGATGTATGTCTCACTTCCTCGGTATAAAATTGTACCGTGGGATTGTCTAAGGCTAACTCGAACAGCTTCTACCAGGAATACCGAGCGAAGACGCTGACGGAGAAGTACGCCAACCTGAACACGCAGATGGACAAGGTCATCCACAATGCCAATACAGAGATCATGTCACTGCAGAATAAGTTATCTGGTCGGTCCAATTGAGTCCACTCTTAATTGGAGCTCTGACTAACATCTGTGCTACAGACATGCAATCATCTCAAGAAGACCTCCAAAAGAAAAATCAGGAATTGAATGATATGTACCGCGACAAGAACAATAAACTCGCTCAAATGACCAATCTCTACAACCTCCTCAAAGCTCGTGCCATGCGGTCCCGGATGCAAACCGCAGCCTCGGACACAGTCTCCCAAGCTCTCTCATCGCTCAATGCTCCTGTTCCTGCTTCTGCTCTTGAACGTGCCTCTGCTCTTGAACGTGCCTCTGCCTCTATTCCTCTGTCCAATGCCTCAACGTTGCCTTCTGCCCCGATTACACGACATCCCAAGACTCCCACATTTCCCGTCAACCCAGATGGAGTCGAGCAGCTTTATCGGAATCAACGGAGCGGCACTGGTAGTTCCAAAAGGGCAAGGACGAGGACACCTCGCGGAGCCCCAATGCCTCCCCCTGCTCAGCCAGACTGGGATGGGCGAAATAGTATGTATTGAACCACGGTCTCCAAGGCATGCCAGCTAATGTGCTTCTGACTAGGCAAAGGTCGAGATCCCGCTCCCCAACATCGGACTCGACTTCCACGAATTTCTCGGACTTCGACTATCTCCTCAGAGTTGCCTCCTGGTGATGCTATCACGCAGCGGTTTGGGCGTTGATCGTTTATCTCTTGGTTGAGGTATTTATATGAATATGGAGCGGGTATTTCTACCGATCTTCGACCAAGACCTTGGTCTTCGAGCTAGATATGATTCAGTTCATGGTCAGAAAGTGAAGGCCCTTATTTTCACCTACATAGTACCTGCATGACAATAAACAGCTCTCGTTTCAAGTATCGTAATTACAAATAACCATTGTTGATTTCTCCTGGTTAGTTGGTTCTAGGACGTTTGACAAACAAAGAGCATTTGTGGAAAGCAAACAGAATTGTCTGCTCGACCTAGGTAGTAGGGCCTACGCAGCTCTGCAATCCCACACTCATTCCTTTCCTTTCCTCTCCATCACCATCAGCGCACCAGACCACACAACACCATGTCTGCGAATCATCGTACGTTGCCCTGTTCATTTTCTTGAGAGTGTTTCTAACTTGCTATTCACTTTAGATTATCGCAGGCTCAAACTGCCTGACGATGCACCATTCGAGCTGAAGCCCTCTCCAGGCAAAGGATGGGGTGCTTTCGCCACAAAACGCATTGAACGAGGATCCCTGATCCTGAAGGAAAAGGCCCTTTTCGTGATTCAGAAGTCCTCTGTTGATATCACAGGATTGGATGTTTTTAGGGCCCTTATGGAACTCTCGACCACGGAGCTGGTACAATTTCTACTAATTCAAAACAATGAGTCGGAGGAACCTAAAGGTTTGCTTGAGACTTTGTCGGGAAACTCTTTCGCCAGTGCCCTTAAGTCTGTAGGGTTTTATACCCTTGGCTCTCGGTTCAATCATTCGTGTATACCCAACGCGAGGGTTCCAAGCGACCCAAGGCCGTTTATCGAACTTCTTGCCACCAAGAACATCGAGGCTGGCGAGGAAATCTACTTCTGTTACACCCCAGATCTCAAAGCTCAAACCAGACATGAGCGTCATGAATCTCTGGGTTTTGTGTGCTCCTGCAAAGCATGTCTGCCTGGAACTCCGTTCCAAGAACTCAGTGATCTGCGACGACGATTGATTCGCGGGATACTCTACATTACGCGAGCAGTGGACTTGGACGGCCAAAGACAAACCTCACAGTCACCGCTGATTGTCGACCCTAAGCTCAAAGCCGCTGCGGAAACCGGCAACATACCTCTTATGTCTCGAATGGTCCTTCACCTCCTGATGGTTGTCTTTCTCGAAGAGGAAGGATTGTTAGATGATTGGGCCGTCAAGGTAGTCGAGCAAGGAGCGGTCACACCGGTGTTCTGGTGCCAGTCAGCATACAACTACGAAATCGGTGATTTGGCTCTAGTCCAGGATACATGGCTGAAGAAACTGCAAGTGGCGTTTCCGCTATATGGACGAACAGATCCCGCTGATCAAATGATTGCCCGGATGTTTCAACAAGCGAGCCAGAAGTACGCTGCCGGACAAGCTATGCCACCCTGGACTTGATTCTTGTTTCTGAGGTGTTTTCTTCTTTCTGCTTCGCAATGACAGTTGAGGTTAATGTTTTCCGTACATGTGTTGAGGTTATTATTCTTATGCCCAGGGGATGTTGCATCATTTATGTAGAGCAGAAGCTCAACAGAGCCGCACCTATGTTTCGCAATCAGAACAATTTGCTTTCTTTGATCTAATCCATTTCCTTTATAGATGTTCTAGGCTGGGTATTATTATTGCTATACGCAATATACTAGACTTCATAGTGTGTCTCTTTGATATACATCGCACCGGTCACCACACTACCGTGCTACCGGCTGATTACTCTAAGCAGACATTTATAGGCAACTAAAAAGACAAATCTTAACTATAATACCTTTATTATACAACTCGGCCCTAGTCTCAAAGATCGGACGTTATCGGTTGATCTCTTAATCAGCGTACGTTGAGCTTTTTGTCATATATTCTCGACGTACAACATTGTCGTGCTTCGCTATTCCCCGGGGAGATCTAGCTGGAGAAACCTCGAAGTCTAGCGTATCCTGCATACTCTCCTTTCAAATCTCCCCCTCAAATACAAACTTCAACACAAGACCACCGCCAATGACTATACTATTCAATAAAAGAGGACTAATGAGCCCAGCAACGCTGAAGGGAACCAAAACCATCTGTTGTTCCGACTTTAGCATCCCCGTCCTGAAATACCAAGGAGACGTCACCCCCAGCCATGTCAGGACCCAACAATAGCCAAGGGTCTTCTGCCACCACGTCGGCAAGCCGATGTTGTCCCGGGACCCGCGTGTTCGTTTCCAGAGAGCCTGGACACCGTCTTCGATTATATAGCCGATAACGAAAGAGAGGAAGAATGACATAGTCCCAGGTTCCCACGGTGAAACATTCCGCAGACTGTCGAGCACGACGTGGATCAAACCGGAGAGAAAGAAAACGATGAACACGTTGGTGTATCGTTCCACAAGCGACGATCTAGGCAGACGGAGGACATCCCGCGCTAGGAAATTGCTAGTCGACGTGAGGGGCAGTCGTAGCATTTGATGCCAGAATTTTCTTTGAGAAGCATGAGAATTTGATCTAGTTAATCAAACGAATAAGAATAAGAGCGACTCACCCCCAGAAATTCCGCAGTGTATATATATCCGCCATTCTGTCAATCATCGGCGGGCTGTTCGAAGGAGAATCCCCCAGGCCGACAAAGATGATCGAAGCGACGCGGTAGTAGAAGCTGAGTAGGATACGGGACACAACGAGCCAAGCAATGGCAGTTGGAATAAGAGCCTTCGTTATCCACTCTCGTCCCGGGATACCGGAAGAAATCGTCTTTCCTTCGTCTTGGTCATTCATGGCTTGTTTCAAGGCCAACACAGTAAATATATCTAGAACTAGAAACTGCCAGACAGCAATAGCAGTTTCTCTAACCAAGAAGCGACCTCGTGGGATCACCTTGGGATCTCTCTTGGTGTAGTACGCCGGGAAGGGCGGGACGTTCTTCACTTGTCGGGGTGTATTAACAGCCCGCGCGTATGTGAGTAGCCGGACAGCCTCGACTAGACGAGGTATAAAGCTCTTGGTGTTTCCATTTGCGTCGACGAAGTCGCGCCCGGCTTGCGGGTTGATCAGTAAAAGATCTAGTGCTGTCAAGACGAATGTTGCAGAACTTCCAAGGAGATGGGTGGATGTATACCCCGGTTTCTGGATTGGGTACATCGCATGCAACACGATCCATATCATACATGGTATAGACAGATAACGTATAGCGGACCGTTTAGGTGTTGTGATAAGGACGACCGAGGGAATGAGACCCTGGAGGACGAAGAAAGCGAGCAGCCGCCCGTCTGATTGATACCGGTCCATGGCGGATGGGGTTTAAACAAAGTGAAGTTTTTTTTTCCTTTCGGTTTCATTTGAGGGGTTATTGGGACTAGGATCTGTGCATGATATTACCTGATTGGTGAATCGGAGTGTTTGCGCAGAGTGATCCACGGTGGGCCCTAATCCCTCGAGCAATGTCTAGAATACTTTATCGATGTTCATGGATCTTTGCTATTTATTGATGGTCGTACTATCTACTATTTGCTTTCGTAGCTAAGGAATTGCTGACTTCTACTCTGTACACTTTCAATACTTCTAGGATTGACGAAACCAGATATCAGACTAACCACATTTGGAAAGTAACTTTGGTGGCTGGCTGGCCCAGTTGATCTACATATCCAACTGACTTAGTTCGGACTCATAGATAGACGAGTATTTTATTCTACTCTCTGTATTGATTCATTCGTGCTCACTACGACCAGGGACGTGTTAAACATTCGGGTTTTGGGTTGGAGAAAGCCACCCCATTCAGTCAAGGCTGAGAGCTTGTGTGACGTATTGACAACTATTTCCCTCAAAAGAAGTCGAGGGGAGGAAGAGCGTTGGCAAATTCTAAAATGACTTGGAAGGTTACACCCTAATAAACTGCCATGCTGGTCAGTCACCAATTCAATCAACCTAGTTCGTTGCGATGAACAGTCCGAGCAGGGTTCCCATCTCATCTATATTCCCTTGAATCACGCAATATTATAAGTAGTATTGACGCATATTACCATTTCTCTACCCAAGGGTAAGGGTATGGATCCTAGATTTTTAGCACATAGTCCTTGCATTCACGGTCAATCCCAGTCGCTGTGATCGAATGGCGTTCGAACTTCGGAGACTAGGTTTTGTCACAAATGGCAATGCAACTCACTCAATCCAGTCATATTCGGGATGCTTCCGAATATCCTTGATCCTTGCAACTTCAACCTTTCTTGGACTGTCTAGTTTCCTGACGAATTGAGATATATCTGCTCGTTAGGGTTATCAAGGCTGCTCACAGCGAAGTGGTTAGGAGATATATCACACGGGATAACGACGTAGCGTGCTAGGTGTGCATCGGTTGCTGGCGGTGATTGAACAGCGCCATTGAGCAATAATTGTATCATATAGTTAGTTGCGGTAAGTGTCAGATACTACAATTTGTATAATATCGGGCAAGATATATATTGAATCACAACAGAAAATGACCTCGTCTATGCACATAGGATCCTCCGAGTATGTAGCAAGTATAGACATGATCCTGGCTAACCCTTTGGAATATATCAAATGATGATTCCTCTTCTCTAACAATATACCACAGACAGAGCTCTGCCACTTCTACTTGGGACCTCGCTTCTTTCATAACGTGGCTCAGACACCCATCGCCCGTCAATATCAAACGAATTCTTAGAGCATATCCACAACAAATAAACCCTCTATCAGTCTAACTAACCCAACATGATAATCCAATGACTTCAAACCAGCACTCATATCCGGCCATGGCCGCAGCTTGCAACCTCCAGGCATAAATTACACGCGTACGTGATAATACGCCAGAGCCGTCTACCACCGACAGCCACCAACTCAACAGACAAGAAAGAGCAACCTACATGAAGAAAACGCACATTATATCCCATTAGACTACCTGCCAACCCTACTCCAAGCACCACAGACACTAATCCCCTTTGAATATAAGAACAAGTTAGCCCCCGTTCGTCCGATGCTTATCTTGCCCTAATCTCGGGGCAGCGGAAGTCGCGTCCACACCTCGGTATGGTCCCCAGCTCCAGCACAGTCCCTACTTTATCCACGGATCTGATCGCGGGATCTGAGGGCCCTGTCAATCCGGGGTGCATGAGAGCTTGTGTGGAGTCTGGTGCGGGAGCTTGTTTTGTCTTTTGGGTCGTGGATGTGAGCTTATTCAAAATTACGGGTGTATCTGTATGTATTAATTACGCTGGTATTTTTGGGCAGTGGTTTGTCCTATATTTGTGTTTTCAGATGTCTACTTTTGCATTGGACATGTTTTAGCTGGACATATATACTATCTGATCTATTGGCTTCATGCTGACATATAATAAAACTACAATGGAACAATCTGGGACAATAAATGCGTATCATTGATATTAGCCGACGGACATCACTCGATCTAAATCCGCCGGGAGTGAACATAGGAAAATGAAATCTAATCAACGGAGAATCATGTACGTCGGCACCAGAAGGACCGGGTCTTGTCGCCCGGGCGGAAGTAACGCCATACCCTCAGCAAAATAGGACGCCGGGGTGACATCTACACCCGCAGACCTCCCCCGGAATCCCGCAAAAAAAAGTCATATCATGCCATGCATTATACCACAAACCGATGCAACGGACACACGCTGCAAAAAACAAATAAAATAAGGATTAAACTGTTTATGCGCCGAATTCCTTGATATCGGTCTTCTTGCCCTGGAGGGCAAGGGGGACGATGCCGCTGACGTGCATCTCGGGCCCGTAGACGTGCATGTCGAGGCCAAGCTCGATACCGACAGACTTGATGTTCTTGAGGCCCTCCTGGTAGTTGGGACCGGCACGGCGAACCCAGATCTGGACCTTGTGCTCGTTGAGGAGATTGGCGACCTCGCGGAGGGCGCGGATGACACCCTTGAAGGTGCTGGCCACGTTGGTGAAGTTGGCAATACCTCCACCAATGAAGAGGACCTTGCCCTCGGGGTGGGTAGGGGCACGCAGCATCAGGTCTAGCACGGTACGGGCGTAGTTGAAGGTCTGGGTCTCGGTCGGGGCGCCAGAGTACTCGCCGTAGTTGGCCAGTTCGCTGACGAAACCAGCGGAGGCAATAGCATCGGCGTAGACGACGGAAGCACCACCACCAGCAACCAGGGTCCACACACGGCCGCTGGCGTTGAGGACGGTCAACTTGAGCGAGGCGCCGGTCTTAGCATCCATGTCGGAGATGAACTTCTCCTCCTTGGTCAGCTCACGACCGAAGGGGGCGGGGAACTCCATTGGCGGGCCAGCATCGATGCTGACCTTGCCACTGGTCGAGGCGAGGACAGGGGAGCCCAGCGCAGCGGGGCTGCGCGCAACAGCCCACTTGGTACCACACTCGAACTCAGCAGTCTGATCGAGCTTGGCGGCCAAATCCAAGAAGTGAACCTCTG